GAGAGAGGAGAAGGAAAGAAGAGAGAGAGAGAGAGAGAGAGCATCGAATTCTCCTTAAATGAGTCATTTAAAGTTTTTGCATTGAAAAAAAAAAGCAATGTTTGCATTAAATGAACAGTGGGAAATTTGTTCACTTCGGTTAAAGTGGTGCATATGTATGTGCGTGTATGTATGTATACGTTTATGTGTATGTATAAGTGCTCTGTCTAAATGTGTGTGTTATGTGTATATGTGTGTGTGCATGCGTGTATATTGCGTATATATGTATGTGCTATGTATATGTGTATTTGTATGTGTGTATGTGTGTGTGTGTTGTGTGTATGTGTGTGCGTCTGTGTTGTGTGTGTGTGTGTGTGTGTGTGTATATGTGTATGGTTCCACAATTTTGGGCAGAACACGCTACAGAGGATTGGGGAAGGAGGATGGATGGGTTATAACGAACAAAACATACCCTTCCTAAATTCTTTGCCTTTTCGGAAATACCAGACATCCGCGGATGGCTTGTTACAGTTACACCTCTCTGTCAGTATGATAAGAAACGATAATCACAGATATCATAGCCATAGAATCTTTTCCAAATAGCTACTGCACAAACAGATCTGAGATATGCAGTTGGTCCCATGTACTAACAAACAGTTATCACTGAAGAAGATCACTCGTCATCCACAATAAATGTTGCCACATTCTGTTATCAGCTAACAGCAAACAACGGAATAATCAATTGTGAATCAATTAGTACTGATATAGCTAGTATCAGTGCAGTGACAGGGCTGTACCTGACATCTTCCATATAAATAGACCGTAATCCCCAAAAACGAGTGAAGGGTGGGGGAAATGTTTAAGAGTGAGCTGATAACAGCCCTCTCCCTACTTTCCACAGTATGCAACAAAAGTACAGCATCAAGAGGAAATCTTCTTAAGGATTGAGTTAAGTGTCCAATTCGTCAAATTTTATTCCAGGTTTTCTATCAATGCTTAAAGCAAGAATGCCAATACTATTACCCAAGAATAATCTTCTTTGTGCTCGAACACATTCATCAAATCCAATGTCTTCGGCCCATTAAGTTTACCAACTATGTCCACTTGAATCTGACCAATATCATTACATCTTATGAATAATTTCTTTCCAAATATATCTGTTTATTGGCAGTACATCAACATGGATTTCACATGGAACAAGCCAAAATCTATTTCTACTCATTTTAAAGGGTTCTTTGTCGTATTCGATATACTTTCAGAATTCATGGTATCTTTTATGTCTGTGAAAGTGACAACAAATCACGACCTTAGCTGCTCGTTGTTAGTGGTAACTATTCGCTATCCCAGAATTTAGTAACAGGGGTAAGTACAAAAGCTCAGACATGACTGTAGAACAAGTAAATGTCGCATTATCAAGTTTCATTTAATCAAATTTCGTCAGATGGATGATATTATCAGATGGTATCATTTTCAGCATTTTGCACCATATCTAATAGATCATAACGTATAATCCACAAACACTCACCGCACAGCTCCATAATTCTCGAAAGGCGGCCATACTAACAACATAATAACAAGAGTATGTTTCTAAAATCTTCCCAAAAATGGACGCTGTAAAACAGACAATAGAGGAGCTGATGAAAATTTTCAGCAATGTCTATCAGCAGAATCTGGAGATTTCGAAGCTGACCTCAACCAGAACAAATTTAACCTTTGCCAGACTGACCATGTGGAACCACTCTTCAACGCAAATTAATATCACGGGCTCGTGTACTGTAGAAAAGGTGGAGTTATCATTTTCGTAGAAACTGTCACCTTTTTATGTGTTAAAATAACATCATTTTTGATGTAATTAATCTTTAAATCCTGAAAATTCTAATTAAAAAGTATATTCTTAGAATTTATTGGAAACGTAAATTCAGAGGATTTTATAGCAGCTGCATTAATTTGAATGAATTCAAAAAGTAATGAAACAGATTAGAAGGGATGAACGAAGCAGATTAAATTCTTGCTGTATTCAATTATCCATTTGTAAGGACCAAAGTTCTTTTAAAAATGATCGTTACTTCCCTCCTTTATTTAATATTTTTTTTGATGATGAGGAATAAAGTGTGAAGCATTCAGCTAAATGACCAAGATTCCTGCCCATTTTATGGGTTCCAGATGCTTAATAAGAGCTGAAGATCTTCTCTTTAGACGAAAAATTAATGTCCAGGACATGCAGAAAACTGGTGAAATAACATAACAGAAACTTAGAAGAGGAAAACGGAACGAAATTCATATTACAAAAACTCAGATTTACATGGAATTTGACTGTAATTTGGAAATATTCCTGATTTTCTCACAATGAATTAAATTACAAATTAAAAGTGCTGTCCTTCGGAACAAATTTTTTTTCCCGACCAGCTTCTCTGAGAATCCATAAATCGTCGACAACGGAGGAGGAGGAGGGAAAATGGACTGATTATAGTGACTGCTCGTGGATGATATCGTAGACAACATCTGGAAAGTGATGAACACATGTCACAACACGCATTCAAATTGTATCCGAACATTTCACAGGGTTGAAGAAAAGAATAGTGCTGAAGACAGGAAGGGATAATGTGAAGAAATGGGCAGAAAGGAGTGAAAAATAAGCGACGCCATTGAACTTTTACGACACAACGGAAGCCCTCCTTCTTTCTGTTGTAGAGGGAAGCAGAATTTGTCCTTCAATAAAATAAGGAAAAGAATAAATTATTAAAATGAAAAACTGGCAAGAAAAGCGAACAAAGAAGAGCTGCCAACAATCAAATACTATTAACTGCCATTTTGACAATTCTCGTATTTTCGCAAAACTGGACACTTCTCATAGTTCTGGAATGCGAATTTTTAATTCATTTAATAACTTCTCACGTTATCTGATAAAGGAAATTTTATGCTGTTATCAGCCAGTCAATTCAAATTAACTACCAGTTGAACTGATATCATTCAAATGATCATTGGAGACGAAGCATTAGGAACAATGATATTATCGTGCAGTGCTTTTCAACTGAAACTCATTGTGCAGAAGGTAATCTTCTCACTTTAGCAATTTACAAATTCAGCTAAAACTGGTGTACCAATCTGAAACGTGGAACAGTACCGTTGGATCTGAAGGACCGAAATATCCAACAAACATCTGAATAACACAGAAACAGTCAGGAAAGGGGCAAACGACATTCGACGGAATGATGTGTCAAGGGACTGCTTCGCCGATGCGCCATCGGCTTACATTCAACAGACACATACGTACATGCATACATACATACACACACATGCGTACCTACATACATGCATATACACATGCAGAGGTTATGTACATTTTAACAACACATCGTTATCGTCAACATCGATGCCTGCCACAACTAGCCAGCACTTGCAAACTGAGTGAATACAAAAGCAAGTAAACACATAAGAGGCGGAAAGATGTCACAGAAAGTGGACTACCAAAAATAAACAACCCATTGCGCATCAGATATAGTATTGCAATCAAAGTATTAGATGGAGAAACCAGGTGAAATTCCGCTTGTACCTTTAGAAATGAAGGGAGTACTTTAAAATAGATGACAAAGTCGTTAATTAGCTAACCTAGAGAAGAAACGTGTAATAAGACTAACCTGAAACAGGTATAGCTCTGCCCGATGTGTCATCGCCATCTCCCTATAGAGATCTAACAAAAGTGACCAGCTTACTCTGTTCAACCTATGACCTGTGGATTAGTTACGATGTTTTGCAGCAATTTCCCAACATGGCTAAACGATAGTCTGCAGAATGTATGGAAGTGCCTGTGACAAAGCAAAACAATTCACGGATAAAATGCCGTGAATAAAATGTGTGATCGGATTGTTTTTAATTCCTTGTGTGTACACTCACACAGACAGACACATACACATACACACATTAAACAAACATGCGCAGACACAAACACAGACACAAACAAACACATACACACATATATACATGGCAGCGATACACTTCATTTAGTTGCGCATACTTGGTGCAGGTGAAGTTGATTTGTCATTCCGACAGCTTTCTTGGTTAAGTCGGGAAGGCGCTTAAGGGAATTTTCAGTACGGGTGAAATGTATTAAAACAGTCATAACGAATAATCTAAGGTACGAAGACTTTTTCAACTATATTACCGATCAAGGTAGAATTTTAAAAATGTGAGAAATGAAATGGGAGAAATTGATAGATAAGGACAAGTTTTGTTGTATGTTGCTTAGATAATCGAATTTATAGGAGAAGAGTGGGTATTTAAACAAAGACAGCAGAAATCTAATTGGAAAAACAAATAAAATTCTTTGGAAATTTTGAAAACAAAAAGTTGTCAGACCCTACCCCATTTGGAAAAGAAATTCATCCCGAATCTGAAATACGGATTTAACAATATGAGAATAAAGGGAGCCAAAATGATCCGTCCGGTAATCGGTGATTCTTTTCTAGGCCGTGGCTCTAAAGAATACTCTTCGAAAATGAGCGATGATCAAACCAAATAAAGAATCTTTTGAGTCCTCAATAACAGTTAACCTTCATTTTTATGAAAAGTATGAATAACCCTCATTCGTTGTAAAAGTTCATCGAAGCTGACCTAACTTGGTTTATGTAATTCGCTTCCTGGGGAAAGAAAAATCTTGGAATGTACAGAAGAAGAACCAAAATAGATCTAATACGTAAATGCATCAAACAATGATTGCAATGGATAAAAAAGACAGAACACAAACAAACCGATGAAATACATTAAAAGCCAATTATATCACAAATGCAAATGAGAGGTTAAGTGGAGATGGAAATGTTGTATAAACCTCTTCTCACCGATCTTCCACATCAAGTGACTTCAGCTTTAAATTGACTTACATTCTATCGATACTTGTTGTTGTTCCCAACAAAGTAATCATTTTTGGGTATTTCTCCTTTTCTTCTCTTCATTTTTACAGTTTAGTCCATAGAATGTCAAATACTTCTTGTCAAATACTTCTTCTGCTTTTTTTTGTTCCTTCTCTGAAATGTTTATTTAAAGAAAACGAAAAAAGATCAACCAATACGTGCATTCAAATCTCTCTCTCTTTTGCCTTTCATCAAATAATATTTTTTTTTCAAACACTTCACAAACGTTGTATTTTAAATGAGAAGTGTTTCTTCTAAGAGAGTCAAAGGTTATCCTTCCCTATTTTATACTCGGTAAAAAAAGCTAATAATAATTGTATATTTGTAAAATAATATGCAAACTATGGCAATATTTGTTGTATATTGCGATCTCAATCACAGCTACTAACGTATTACATATGAATTTTTTATTTCTATCACTTGAACAATATACGTAGTAAATATATAATTTTAAATCTTACGTAATATTGATGACTGATATGTGCACGTGAAATACGTAAGAAATAATTTAACGTATATGTATAGTAAAATTATAATCAGAGAGGAGAAAGACTGATTAAGAATTACTTATGCAAGAATAATTAGGCAGTATTGAAATTAACTGCACCCAACAAATGTTCCCTCTAATTATGACTTGCGCTTCTCACCTGTGCTTATAAACATTCTTTTTTAAAATAATTATAAATATTGGGAATTGTAAACGAGAAATACCGCTGATATGGAAGAAAATTTATCGAAATGCGAAATTATGAGTCCAATGAAAAATCTAAATGTATTATATCTAGCAAAAGTTAAAGGGATAAAACACGTTTGAATTTTGTAATCTTATATTTAGATTCCAAACAAAGTGCAGTCACATAAATCATACTAATACTTAATTTTTGTAGAGATTCAATCCATGTCAAATATGATTAGCATCTGTCGCATTTTCTCTCAAACAGTGCCATTTTTCTCTGAGGTCCCAATCCTCAATTTTAAAGTCCGGCTCGATTTTCACTTCACCTAATTGTAAAAGTCACTTTTATTTTTCAATTCTCTTTTCGTTCCTCAGTGTTTGCAGACAGCACTAGTGAAAATGATTATCAAATGATTGGTGAAAATGATTAAAATGGTTATATGTATAGTTTGAATAGTACCAATAACTGTTTTATGGAAACAACGAAAATAGAGAACAAAAAAAGAGACGAGAGAATTTTCTGTTTCAAAGCTTAAACCTTCCGTTATAATCCAAACTGGATTTTCTTAGTCAAAGATTGTTACCGGAAATTATAAGAAGATTATGTAGGCCTAAGCGTTACGATCTGCACTTGAAAAACTCCCAATGATTATTTTCAATCACTTCTGATACTGTTGCTATTACTAGACTTCTTCTGTTTCTTTCGCGAATTTCTGCAAAAAATAAGTGATGTGATTTAGTATAGTAAAGGTGTGGGCAGGGATTATTAACAACAAATAATTCCATAATTAACTTAATTTTCACATATTAAAGTATTAAAAAATTTCAGATTAATGAGGAAATTCCGGCAACTATTTTCGATAATTAAAAGAATAAATGATATTTCTGAAAGCAGGAAGCATCAGAACTCCTGCAACGGAACAAATGTGAAATCTTTTATGAGTTTTGTCATTTTTCGCTCTTCACTGAAAATTTGAAAATTTTGAAATGGTTTTGAGCTCATTTCTCAATCATATTCAAAAATTAGTTGCAATAAAATGTAGAAATAAAATAGCTTTCTTCCAAAAATAAAAACGAAAATACCATTCATTCTTGTTCCAATTGAACCAGAAAATATAATAACAGTTATTTTGGACTAAAATTTATGGAAATACATACTTAGTCGGGTAAATCCAATAACCAAAAATATTCAAACTGACTATGTAGTTGGGAAATGTGAAAAAATGATAGAGAAGAAAATTGCTGAGCATTTCCAGTTTATGAAATGCTGGAGATGAAACCAAGTATGAATAAATTACTTCACGATTTAACCCGAGAATTTTCAGTAAGTGAGGATTTTCCATCAAAGCAGAAACTGCTTTATGCAACTTTGCCGAGAATATCAGAAATTACAGTACATACTTGGCATGTGCTTAATATATACAATGAATACGCTGTTAATCGGTTGATAATTATTCATGTGATGCAAGGTCAGCGATGTTAGAAACTATAAATTAAATGTCATCAAAATTATTAAAAGTGAGGACTGGCTTGCAGTACAGTAAGAATTATGTTAATTCTTATTTGTAACCAAACCAGTGTAATAGTCGAGCCTGAAAAATTCACATTTGTAAAGCCAACTTTTGCATCACCACATATTGATTTATTATTAAATGATTTTAAGGGTTGCATTAAAATCGAAAAAATGATAGGTTTAACAAAATTTATTTCATTTTTATAAAAAATGAAGATCAAATAAAATTTATTTGCTTCCATTCAATTATAAAACTTGAATGTGAATTTAAAAGAGAAACACGTTGAAAACACGCTGGTACCAGATTTTTAAAATTTCAAAAATCATAAAGTTTCAGTCTCTGATTATAAATGCGTTTGTGTGCATGGAAATGCAAGCGCAAATAATTTGTGAAAATGGGTCGGAACTGGAATATAGTAGGTATTAAGAGCAATTTATATTCTAGAAGTTGCACAAATGGAATATTGATGATATGGTGATAAGGTATTAGAATGACTGGTGGATTACTCATTGCAACTTTTATATATTGCAACACTTTTTGCAAGGAAATAAACAAATAGATAATTAAGGAAATAAATAGCAAATAGAAACATTTCATTAAAGTTATTTAATCTGTCAAGAACGATTTTTTCTTATACAATTAAGTTTTTTAAAAATTTGAAATTATTACTATTAATAAGGAAAGGAAATCACGCAAAGTAGCTCCAGATTGCATTGTTTTTCTTACTTTTTCATTTATCGCCACTGTTATAGTTGTAATATGATGAAAGGACATGATAAATTACAAGATTCAGAAGCTTTGGAAAAGTTAATCAGTGGAGGATCTTTGATGTTAAAGGTAAATGCGCTTTGAGCCATATTTGATTAAATTTCATAGAAGTGAATTCAGTAAGCTTTGCGTGATAATAATATTTGGAAGTCTCTTGAGGAATACAGTCTTTCGGGAAATACAGACATGACGATCAATGCGCTTACTTGTAAGTATTCAATGTGACTAAACTATAACACAAATTGATATACTAATTTGTGTTTCAAGAATGAAGACTTACCGAACTTAGAAAGTACCAACTTATCCCATCTAAAAGTTCGCGGAAATAAAGGAACTGGAACTACCCAGTCCGAAGACTTAGAAGTCTACAGAGTCATAAGACGAAAATATTTGCATTATCTAACACATGAATGATCCATGTTTACAAACGTTTTTTTATTGGGAATATTCAACTCCCTTACTTGTGGTCAGTTAAGTTCAACTGAGCAGTGCTGCATTCGTTTAGATGTTCGCAATCACACTAATACATCATTTATATATATATCCTTCATACTGACATACTCTTCTAAGATTGCTTCAAGATCTGAAATATTGTCCTAGCAGGACAAAGGACATTATACATGTATACAGAACAGATGACTGATCGGATTTACCAATCAAGAAAAGGGCAAGAACATTCTGTGCTGAGCCATCCCGCATACTTCCAACACTCCTTTGCACCGCCCGCTTCTCGTTAGGCAGTTGGCACACCATCTCAGTCATTGTGAGCCGGATAATATTATAGCAAAACTGAGGCACGGAGATGGGACAATTTGTTGTGAATTGTTAGGATTTTATCAATCATTGGGTCAACTTCACCTTTTTTTTAGAGGAGAATACGCGGGAGGTAAGTCAGCTATAAAAGCGCTAATTAAATCGATATTTGGGTGCACGCATCAATGCATGCGCAAATACAAGGATGAAACTGTAACTCGATTCTTTCATAAGCTTTCAGCTGCTCATTCCGGTCACCTGGTATTTTCGATATTTATACTCCAATTTGCACATGTTTTAAAGGAACTAACGAGTGCGTAAGGAACGTGTGAAAAGGTTCATAGGTAGGATGCAGTGCTCTTCCGCCCATCTTTCCAAAGATCTTTTTGAGTACTACGCGTTACTTAGCTTATCCACGTTGTGATCTTTTAAATACGCAAGCCTATGTGCTGTCTGAATGTTTGTTTATTCTTTTTCAGTAGGTATTTAATAAACAGATCCCGTTCATGCCAGCCATTACTCGAATAGAAGTAGAAGGGGGGATTCAGGTATGGCAATACAGTTTGATGCTTGAGACATAGTGATACTCTTGCAATGTCTAAAGAACGCTTTCACATAGCAGTGTGAGTGTGCCGCAGATAAACTGTACGATGATTATGCCTCCATGAAGTTAACCTTCGACCTCTCCTGTTGCAAATTACCTTCGTGGGCAACCACTGGACAACTTGTTACTAAAACATGTTGTTCCTTCTTTGTTTCTCCTTCACCCGTTGTAGTTTTTACTTTCATCCTCCCCTGCGATCACAACATGTGGTTCTTTCCTAATCTGCTGTGCATTTTTTGTAATTCTCAACTCTGAAATACAAGTGCTGATCGATAACTTCGAGTACTGATATACGTTTCATTTATGCTTCAACACTATATGTCTGTATTGGTGTACATTGGCACACAAGAAAATTGAGTAATTCGATTCTTATGACCTGAAAATTACTCAGATGGAGAGCCCAAGTACGCCGAGCAGTGCGATATTTATCAAGAAAGTAATCGATTTCCGGTGAGTAATACTTATCTGTCATCTTTCTGAAGTAAATTACCTTCCCAGATTTTTCTTTTTGGGATTTGATATAAAATAATTAAGTTTTAGACCGAAGGGTCAAATCACTCACTTGTGTTCAAGTAATGGTGAAATGTTGCTGGTGATCGCTGCACGGCAACTTCTTCATTATCCACTTCAAAATACTAGTAGACAAATTGGTAAGATTATCGCAATTGATTTTAGCAACATTCTAGAAATGAGTAATTTCTTATCCACTTATTTTTTCTTTCGAAATTTGAGACAGTGGATTTTGATTGGTTTAATATTCAAATCTTTAACGTCTAATTTATATAATTATCTGAGATTAGTGGTACAGTTTGGGATGTTCTTCTCTGTTGCATCGTGGAAGTGTGAGCGAAATCTTTGAAGCACAACCAATACAGTTAAAAGCAGTTTTCCGTTTTATAGGAAACTATCCTTTTGTTATCAATAACTAAATTTTATGAACTTATCAAATTCCGGTTTTTCTAAATGAGTTCAGTAGTTTTTTGAATTGTCGGTGAAAATGTTTACTAGATTAAGCTGTGTTGCAGATGTTGTTTTGCCATTATTAATGCACGATCGTATTGCTTATGTTCATCTTAGTCCTAATGGTCGTCATGCAATCATAAGTACAACTGGTGCCGATAATTTTTACTTGAATTTGAAGCATGATTCAGCGAAACAGTTAAGAAAATTGAAAGTAAAGTATTCTTATACTACACGAAATTGATTTTGGTAGGGTATATAAATGTTCTAGAGAAATTCGATAAGAAAACTCTATAATTTTAATGTTGTGTTTTGTAAAAAAGATATTTCAAATCTCCTGAAAATATTGTACGAATGATTTTCTAGGGACATGTGGTAAGTTCCGTAGGTTGGAATATGGAAATTTCGACCGATAACGAAACAGGTTTCATCGTTCTGGGTACCACGAAGGGTAATTTTATGAAATTTAATTAGGACCAGTTAAATTATTGATTCAAAACAAATGTCTTTTGATTAGAAGAAGTAGCTTATCAAATAGTGTTTGAAAATGCCTCAAAATTTTTTATGGACAATAGATTTATCAGTTTTTTAAAGTTTTTAAGAAAAAACTGTCACTTTTGCCATTTCTATAAATTTTGGTGAATTTCCAAACAGCTTTTAATGCATTAACTATTTGTCGCCAAAAGTTTGACATTGCCCAGAAAGTTTCAAATATAGGTTCTCTCTTTGAATCATCTGTCATTACAAGTGGAACAGTTGCCTATGTTCGTGAACTGACCAGTAATTTAAGCGGAGTAAAAGATTTGTCTGTGACCGGAATTGAAATGTGTCAATGTGAGGACGAAAATCAAAAAGCAAAGTAATTTTCTCATCGAATTTTTTTCGCTTTTATTTGGGATTATTTTTCTTCTCCACTTTTTTTTCAGATTTCCTTAATTAATTTAGATTAGGACAAACTAGGATATTGATTTAGATTTACGAAGTCATTTGTTCCAATTCTGATTTCGTCTTTCTTGATAATAATGAAACATTTCTTAAGAAACACGAGAAAATTGGTGTGTTTTCAAATGAAATTGAAATTTGAACGCAATTTTATGCTTTTCCAGGTGGGCTGTCTTTGTGTGTCTTCCTGGAAGACTGTATTGTTTGAGCGGACAAACCAATACGAAGCATGATGTTACTGGTGTACAGCCAGTTGTAAGCACAATTTGGAGCTCTGCGTTTGCTGAACATAGTCCCGCTGTCTTACAGCCTTTATTTACATCAAAAGGTTATTTTGAATATTTATCTTCTCAATTTTTTGAGACAAATTGACCTATTGCACGATTCATATTTCTCCATTTCAAGTAGCATTAATGGAGTGTAACTAGTAATATTTACTGAATTACTGAACCATTTCAGTCCTAATCTCCTGTTATTAAATGCTATTGACTTAGCAAATTTTGTGTCGAACTTTTTAGCACCACTTCGTTTTCATTCTATGGATGATGGACAACGCAATTTGCCCAGCGCTTTTGTGGTTTACCCAAAATTGAGTAATGAACTACCTACTATATTTTGTTGGGTTGGTGCTGATGGCTACACATTGGGACGAATAGATTTGACCGTTTCAGAAGCATATGATATGATTGTTGAAGAATCACATATACAGTAAGTTGTCTCTTTCAGATAGTTATGTAAGATAGAATTTAAGGAACTTAAAAATGATTTGTTGAAAATAATGTAGAATAATGGTAAATCTTCTCTCCTTAATCATTTAGGAAAATCACCCGGAAACTTTTCTCATGTTGAACAAAGTAATGTAATAAAATCTGCATTAAAAATGCTAATTTTGATGTAGCTTGCAACAAATTTTCAATGAAGGATTTCAGACATCAATTAATGGATGGACGTTACAGTTATCCTTTGGATGTTGCATTAACCGAATATAACGTTCTGCTGTTGTATAGTAATCATATTGAAGCTATTTCATTACTCAATCAGAAACTAACTTTTGATGATACCATTGGAACGGTTAGTTAGGTGTTTTTAGTTAAAAAGAAAAATACTTGTGTGTAATGCCGTAATTTAGTTTTACATTCCTATGTTGTTTTCAGGATTCTGGTCAAGTAAAAGGAATGTGCCGTGATACTGTATCAGAAATGATTTGGGTATACACTGATGTAACTGTGTGGAAATACCGGCCAAATGAGGAATTTAGGTATTTTGCTTCTCCATAAATGTGATTCGAACAGTGATAGTTCTTATTTTTTAGCATCTGGCTGAATGTAAAATTCTCTTCCTTCCTAGAGACATTTGGCAGATCTATTTGGAACGTGGTGACTATGGCAAAGCACGTGCTATCACAAATAAATTGAGTAATCCAGCACCACATCAGCTAGTTATTAAGAAAGAAGCCGAAAAATACATCGCCGAAAAAAAGTATAATTTAGTCTTTGGTTATTTAGATGCATATTTACTTCCTTTCGCTTTCATTAATTTATACAATGGATGTACAGAAAATTACGTTTCCAACAGTTTCATTTTAAAAGTTATGAAAAATAGCATAAAGTTTTAGTTTCACAGCTGCAGCGGAAGTTCTTGCGGAATCAATCGATCCTTTTGAAGTTACATTACTCAAATTTTTGTCAACGAAGGAGGATCGGCGAAATGGTCTAAAGCGTTTCTTGGAGCTCAAATTGAAGTCATTATCAAATGTAGAGGTGTTAAATTCGATTTATAAATTGAAAATGTATCTAATTTTTCGAAAAACTTTTTGCTTCCGAATTTTCTCTATTGAATGAATATATATTTTTCAGGATAAGATACGACGAGATGCTTTGGTTCTTTGGTTATTAGAAGTGCAATTGACAGAATTTGCAGAATTACGTCGAAATGGAAAGCAAGTGCAGTTGGAAGGGACAGAGTTACCAAGCGAAGAGACAACCATTGACCAGCAAATCAAAAATATGCGGCAACAAATTGAATTATTTCTTGCTCGTTCTGTTGTTTTAGTTAGTGTTGTTCTTGGAACAAGCTGCAGGTAACTGTGGAGCAAATAAAGCATTTTAGATCGACATTTGAAATTTAAAAAAAGCGGTCAAATTTCAGGCAGCAGTTGAAGTAAATCGTGACGCAGTCTATCGTCTAATCACTTCGCATGCGCATTTTGATATCCAGCTCTATCTCGCTCAAAAACTAAAAGGTGGTTTGTTGCTTCGATTTACCAGGAATTTCAAGTTTTTGGCCAAAAATAAATTTTCATATGGATTTCAGATTATGCTACGGTTGTAAATGTTTACTTGCTGCAGTCTGACTATGAGAAAGTTTTGGAGGTGATACGGAAACAGGTAATAATAGCTTTTTAGTAACAAATAAGTAGAGGACATCCCAAATTATTACGAACTAATTATCATTTCAGACTTTTGAGATATTTAGCATTGTTTTCCTAATTTGATTTTTCGAGATTTTACATTCATATGCATATAATCCGTTTTGTTGCAAAAGTTTGAGTCTTCTAGCACATTTTGGAGCTTTATTATAAGCATTCTCCAATGTTAATCGAAAAAATACCAACCGAACTAGTAGCAGCTTGGATCGAGGAAGGTGAGGCACTTGTGTCGGATCGCTTGTTGCCGGCATTGTATCGTTGTCAAGATGTATCAAAAACGAAAATGGTATGTAAATTTTGATTAAGGATTCTGAAATCTTTTTACCTTAAAACGCATAAATTGTGTTATTCTGAAATTTTGTATTTTATCATCTTCGTTTTACCGATTTCTTCAAAATAATTGATTTAAGGTCACTGCTGCTTTGAAATATCTCAGTTTCGTAATAAACGAGAATTGGGCAAGCCGAGCAATGCATAATTTTATGATAACACTCTATGCTGAGTAAGTCATGTTATTTTGATTCTTGCATGCTGAAACTGTAGACCTACCGAAAAATGCTGATTTCTTCTAGGTTCAAGCCGGAAGAGCTATTGAATTATTTCGAAAAATTTGGTTATGACGGGAATTTAGTTCCGTACGATGTTGAATATGCCCTAAGAGTTTGTATCGAAAAGCAAGGTATATTAAACTGACTAGATTTCTGTTTCCTAAGACTTTAAAAATTTATTTATTAGTTCTTTTGATTTTCATTTATTTCAGCACTGAAGCGATGTTGTGTTTTTATGTATTGTGTTTGCGAACTATACGACGAAGCTGTTTCTCTTGCCTTGACGGTTCCCGTTTTTGAGCCATTCTTCTCACATTTCACAAAAATCAATGAGAATTATAGTTTTCACATTCTGTAGATCGATGTCGAATTGGCTAAAACTTGTGCAAAACAAATGGTGGAACCTAATGAAAATGAGTATGACTTTTTGCTGCCTAGTTTAGAGAAGCCTAAATTCTCGACAGAGATGCGACGAAAAGTTTGGCTACAAATAGGTATATTGTGTCTAGATTTCAAATTCCTGGATTCATATTTGATTTTAGTTTTATTAAAATAAATTTAAATTTGATGTGATTGTGGTTTTACTTTCCATCCCGCCGCATTTTTGATCCACACACTATGAATTATGATCAGGGGATGAACATATGAACATTTTGTTCCTTTTATTTATGGGTCTCGATATCTGGTTCTCTCAATTTGGCAGTTTTCCCTTGATTGATTTTTTATATAAAACTTCCTTCTCATACGATGATTTTGCAGCACGACATGTAATTGAGAAGCAGGAAGATATAGCGGCATGCGTAAGCCTGCTGAAAGAATCTGATAACACCATCAAGATACAGGTTTTATTTCAACTTTCCACTTTCGAATCCCATTTTAGTTTCACTTGCGTTCGTATTGCAGCTTATTCTACTTAAATTTAAAATTCAAACTATCTGGATCATCTCGATTTTACAAACTTCTTTGTTTGCAGGACTTATTACCATTCTTCCCAGAATTCACAACTATCGAATATTTTAAAGGGCCATTATGTGAATGCTTAAAAGAGCATTCTGGGAAAATCAAGGTTAAACTATTTCTAACGATTTAAACGACAAAAATTTTTTCTTTTTTCCATTGTGTGTTAGAACTAAATTAATATGTACTTTATTTGCACATGTTACATTTTTTTTAGCAGCTTCAGTCGGAAATGAGGAATGCAACAGAAATGGCACAGCGAATCCGCAGCAGTATGGAAAAAACAAAAAATAAGTGTGTTTCTAAAACTTGAATCCCTAAAACCGCTAAATTCCATGCAAACTTTATGGTATTTTTTTTTTTTAATGTTGAACTTCAATTCCTTTCCGGTTCATCGTAATCCGTGCAAACGATCAATGCGCCTCATGCTCGGAACCTGCGATGACTCGACCGTTTTATACATTTACTTGCCGACATTTCTTCCATAAGGATTGCTTAGAATCGGAGCTGAAATCTCACTGGACTCTGGTACAAATTACATGTAATTTACGAAACTTTTATAAGCTTGAAATATTTATAAGAACTCATCATAATTTTGATTATCCTTTAATGAAGAATGATACTGCTTTCGGTATTATGTTCCTAGTCTGTTTTAAATGCTTTAAGGATCTTCCAATAAACATTTTGTGGTGATTACTTAACTAACATTTAGCAGAATAGGTTTTCAGTTAATGAGACGAATTTAATGTTATGATGGTATTCAACATTGTTTCAAATCGAATGCAGAAAAATTACTTTTGCAGCAAGAACACGAAATATATAACAATTTGGTTGAGAAGGAGAGAGTACTGCAGAAGCAGTTAGAAAAATTGACATGTTCAAATTGGACGCCGAAGAAAATGAACGGTAGATGTATTTGTATTGGACAGTTCAAGAATTTTGACTTTTTTTTAAACATTTTCATTAAAAGGCCCTATTTAAAGTTGTTTCAATAATGGAGCTTCATGTGTTACAGAATTTCAAGAAGAGCTGGAACATGTACGCAATGAAATTAATGATACTGTTGCTGGTGATTGCATCTTTTGTGGTATTGTAATGATTAAGTGAGTTCAAGCTTTTCAGCACCGCATTCCTGAATCAGTCCTGTGTGTTACACTTGATTTTCTATGAGAGAAATTTCAAGGAACGATTTTTCACCTAATCATGCATACCGCTGAAGTTCCAAGCAGTAGCTGTGGGTGGTTTCCTAAGCATTGACTGCATTCTTAAGTACTGATCGGTATCCTCGTTTCGCTGCAATATCTTTTTATAGCTCGATCGATAAGCCGTTTTTTGAAGAAGACGAATATGAGAAAGAAATGGCGACTTGGTAATCGGGCCGCAAAGATATATCAGCGGCATAAAATCTGCAGATCTGTGAAATATTTCATGGAATCATCGAGCACGGCATTTAAGATTAATTCTAAATCAAGACAGTACAACTGCTGCTTCTTTTATGCACATATTCAGATGTGATATCATTGAGTCCGGGTATTTCACTTCTTTATCCAGATTTTTGCGAAATGAAATCTTGTCAATTGATAAAATTATGAGACTGTTCCCTATGCAGTTGCATTAATGCGAAGAATCGGAATTTTCCTTTTTTTCAATTTTTTGACAGGTGAGCTTACAATATTTATAACTGATTTAGACGTGTTCTAACCGTGTTACTGTAGTATTTCCATTGTTTCTACTATTGCAAATAATTATGTACAAGGTTCTTATTACAGAACAAATCTATGTTTCCTACATAGTTTTTGAAGAGAGTATTTCCTTTTATTTTATAAAACCCAGTATAGTCTGAAATGATTTCCTAGTCTGTTGCAGCAGTGTTACACATTCTTTAGCTCTGTATGGTACTTTATGGTGTTGAAGTAAATTTATTAATAGCTGCTGATTTCATTCATCAAGAAGGTCTTCATTTGAGCTGGAAGTTTTGACATGCTGTCGATAATCCAAAGGATTTGCTTGTACTGGTGGCAATGGTGCAAGCGAATTGTAAGAGAACTGTGTAGCGGTTTGGGATGTGCTGCTATCACATGGATGTGCTATCTGTGGAACAGCACCTGTAAATAATTGAGTTTAAACAGTTATTTCCTTCATATTTAAAGAAAAGGAATCCAGAAGGTAAGTGGACAATTGGGAACTGATCAATGTGGAGGGAGAGTTCTGAGTTCGAGGAACTGATATTGATCAAGGAAGAAGTTGTGACGAATGGATAGATATGCATTGATCACCTTCTGGCATACTGGAAAATGAAGATTTTGCGTACAGCATGGTTGGATTGATGGGATAACAACCAACGCCGAATGGGAAAACAGCTGAAGAAAAACACGTTATGGCCGTTGATTTCATTTACATTACTGTTATGATTATTACTTTGGTCAAAACATGCATGTTGGATGACTCGAATTAGGACTTTAGAGCTTAATTGCTGGGATTTTGATTTAATAGTCGAAGATTAGTAAGGAACCATATTGAAAAACGGTACATTCCTTGTGAGAATTCTGGGACTCTTATGTTATCATTAAAACTGCTTCATTAATATTATTCTCATTATTTATGTGAGTGTCCTCTATCCTGCAATTCTTTGTTCTCCATACTTATTGAAGAGAAATCAAATATGGACAGATCCAAAATATTTGGGTCTTTACCTTGTCCAAAATGCTGTGGTCGATATGGTAGAGGTGCCAACGGCTGAAATGTGCAAAAATTTAATGGATTTGACCATTGCGCGGACCAAATCGGCTGTTGAGATTCCATAGATTCTGTCACGTCAAATGGCGAGCGGGACTATAAAGTAGTATTGTTAAGAATTAATTTTATGGATATTCTTCGCTTCAAAAACCTGTTGAAGAGTATCGTACTTTACTTTCTAAAAAGTTCCATAGATTGAAATTCGATTAAACCTTATTGTTTTCCGGGTCCGCTGTGTTATTATTTCTAGATCGTCGATGTGGAATTGTGGGTGGAAAAGTGAAGTATTCCTGATTTGTAGTTGGATTTGGTGAAGATATCTTTGGTCTTATTAATGAAGTTGATGGTAAGTCGTTTAATTGCGGCGATTTCGTTCTGTCATCTAGAATCCCAGAATTTTAAAATCTTGAAACTGATTTCAATATTAGTACATAGTATTATTTTGAAGTTAAAGTGGAAGAACTAATGTATTACTGATAATCTTGAATAACTGGTTACAAAGATGAAATCTATTCGTAATTGTTAATGGCATGTCCACAATCAAGAATTATTACACTTCTAAGATAAATTTGAAGCTTATAGGCAAATGCATGATGATTCTGCAAATCTTCAAATCAAAGCATGTTAGGATGTAGTCTCGATTGTAGTCAGGATGTAGTTGAAATAATAATTAAGTATTGCGCCATTTCCGAGAAGAATGATGGAATAAGAGGGCATCTGTCTATAATTCTTTTTCGTGATTCAAGGATAATCCTTCTGTGGATAATTTCTGCTGGAATACGTATAAGCAATTAATTGTGTTTTGACTGTTGACTTGATTCTTTGATGACCTTTAGCAGAGAGTCATTCAGTCTGACCTTTTGGCAGTTGCGGTGCTAATATGTTTTCGATTAACGTTAATCCTTATGAGCTCATTAAACGTCATCTTTCTGGCAAGCTTATGGTTTAGTGAGAAAATTTTGCCGCCACCGAAAATAAGCGCTATGACGTATACGTGAAGTAAAGAATAAAGTAAAATAATGACCCCAATATTCATTCTTATTCCTTAAAAGAAAATGACATTGAAGAGTCACTAAAAATGAAACCGAAAAGCAATCGAGACTAAGGGGAAAGCATAAATGAGATACTAAACGAGATACTACAATGAGATACTATATTTATAATGATTCATGCTTCACAATAAAGTAAGCAATACTATTATTAATTAAAGTTCTGTCTAGGTAACATATTCTTCTCTGAATGAAACAACGTGCACACGGTTGACAAATCAGTTCAGAAGTAATTAATTGATATTCCATTAATTGAATAAGGCTAAAGATATGCTGATTATATGTATATCATTGTGATAACATAGATTACGTACGATGATTAACTTGGAACTTTTTAGCTTATGCCACTGGTTACTATTGCCTTAATTGTTTGCCCAGCAAACTTTGATTTCTATTTGTTGGTCATGACAAGTTGTAATCTGATCGGGTAATGTACATAAAATAGCTTACATGCCTATAGGTCACAAATTGTGTTCGTTTGCTCATCCTCATCTTGTTTGCTTATTTGGACATCATTCTTCTGCAGCAAATGACAGTACTTGACTGTATTTGCATTCGTGTAATTGGGAATCGAGTAATAAAACGTAGTGTCCTTTCGCCTACTTAATTTGTTTTGGCCCAGGAGGCCAAAACATTTATTTGAGCCTCATGTCCATCAAGTTTAATTCATTCTTCTTATCCAACTGCTCTATGGTAAGTCAAAAAATGCATATGGTGTAGTTTTGGCTTGTTTGGCTGATTTGCTCGAATTATATTGGCAAATGGTGAAAATGTAATCTGATATGGTTCTCTTTAGAGAACGGTCATTGAAGTACGATGTCCATTGTAGTATATTTACTTTCACAGCTAGTTCGTTGAAAGAGAGACAGTAAAATAACAGAGAACTATTAATATCTGCACTCGTTACACTGCCCTTTAACGCCTATTGACAACTGTGTTTAATGATTCGAACACAAAAAACAAGAGGATAGCCTGGAGATTCACTATAAAAAGAGAAAGAAGTGCAATGATCTCGTAGTTCAATATTGTCAGCAATGATAAAGTGTTCAGATAGCAATGCAGAAATATTACACAGATCTATTACAACGTTCAAAACGGCAAGTAAAGCATTTAAAAGTTAATCGATTGTAGTATTTTAGAGCAGATTAAAAGCAGCTCGTTTAGTATTTCAATTTCGTAAGAAATGAAAGTCACCGTTAGAGACAACTTACTGTGTTATAGGAAGTATGGAAAAAGAGTATTTCAAGTAAACTAGTATTCCTTAGTTCATCCCACTGAACAACAGTTTTAGCATTGGGATAAAATTCAGAAATTACGACAAGTAACCTTCCTCAAGTGACAGACCACCACCAAGCATATTTTCACTTTTATTATCGCTGCCGGTTGTTTCACCTTGTCGCATAAATTTTAATAATTTTCCAGCTAAAATAAATGATGCAAAATAAAAAGCATATAAAAAGATAAAAATAGAAAGTATATAAATAAAAAGTATATAAATTTCGCAAAAAAACCAACCTCATAGTAATGTTTAATGCTGAAAGCAGCAACTAATTCAATAAAAGCAATACAAAACATAATGAACGAAAATGGTTGAAAAGAAACAAACCTCTTTCAACGCCCAACAATATTTCTAAATCTTTAGCTTCTTTCTCATCCTGACTTTGCTGTCGCCGTAGCGCGACTTGTGCCGCCATCACTCTCTGCCGTTCCGCAATTAACGTACATTTTGCGCACAGACAATCTTTCCATTTGCAGTAACGCTTGTGTCCTACAAACAGCTTATGAACGCTAGTGTGACTTAGAATTTCCCAAAACATCTTATGACCAGCCAATTTTACTAATTCTAATATTTCATTCTAAACAACAAAATTTAGGTTGCTAAATATGGTAAAACAAATCAAGATTTCGACAAATTATTAATTTGATTATTAAAACAATCGTACTGGATTTATCGCAGAATTCAGCATTGCGGGAATTTATCTAAAAACCTTTAAAATCTTTATGAAAAGTCTGATTTTTAAGAATTCCAGACCATGAACTTCTGAAAACTACTTATTAACGTCATTTTGTGAATCCATAAACTAGCGCTAGATTTTGCAAATCTGAACTATTTGTTGATATTTTTTGATCATTATTAACATTATCACTTCTTCACCTTTCAATGCCGAAACAATGCCATGATTCCGACAACGGGCACATTTCGGTATTCGTTGGTTACGCTCCTGTCTGAGTCGTAGAATTTGCTCTATACTGCTAGGACCGAGTCCACCTAGTGATAAATTATTAGGATTTAGAGTCATTTCGACTGCGATCTAAAATTTGAATAGATTTGGATAAATGTAGAACAATAATCTTACACAAATTGAATATCAATGAAATTCAAACCGTCTTGCTACTCACACCTGCTCATTTAAAATTTGCTTAACAACCCAATGGTATGTACTGAACTCAAAAAGTGAAAACAAAACAAAATCTGAAATTTAGCAGGATTTTAATTTTCCTAACTTCCTGCCAAGGCTTCAATATTTTTTTGAATGAGAGATAGGATTGATCAATGATTCTTAATGATTCATAGTGACAACATTACTGAAATTTAAAATTTTGTCAAAGAAATGAAGCAAGCAAGCAGTTTCTCTTTCATTATATCAGATGGAAAAGTTCAAATAATTCAATAGATGATGGGAGGGTAAAAAGAGAATGAAAATAAGTATTATAATCTATTTTGTTCTATAATTAACTTTGCCAAGATTTCTATAAAAATTCCTCGCATTGAACAGACGTACAGTATCCACTCCCTTCCTTATCAAAACCTTTAAGATCCTCTGATCCTTTGATGCAAGATCCCCGGGCAATGGAAGATATTTGAAGTTAATGATGATTTACTCAAGAGTATCTGTAGCTAAGTGAGGCACGCCCCCAGCTCGTTACATTATTGGTTTAATAGGATATCAATTCGTTTTCCAACCATTTCGAAGATACTGTCATTGCTGGCTTTCCAACGCAGAGATAATATAATAAAGTCTCTAAGCCATATTAATCGTGCTATGCGTTCAATGGCATACATTTTTGGAAAGGTTTCAACTTTATGGTTGAATTTAATAAATTCTTGAACATTCTGATATGTGCAAATGAATTTTTTTCCAAAATCCAACAAAAGCTATCATACCTGCAAGCTGCAAGCAAGCACTCGCTCGCTTTATAGTTGATAAATGATACTTTAGTCCTGCTTACTTGTTTGAAGAATAGATTTGATGCCACCTCAATTACCTACATTGTCTGGAATTGAAAACGACATAATTTGGTTCCAGAATAATAGGGATTATAGAATGCTCATAAGATGACTCGAATACTCGAATCAGAAGCTTGAAAGCAATAAATCAGATAAATCTTGTTTATCAGAACAAATCCCAACACTGTGACTGATTTTTTGATAACCCATCATCTCACATGATCAGCGATAGTAGTTTATCTAAACAGCTTATCATCCCTTGATAAGCACAATCCTTCATTTTACCTTTGTCTCTTCTGCTAAATGAAACTAGGTTCAAATATAATTGTTAAAAATTGATCTCATGTTATTTGTGGTCGCAGTATTTTCTTTTTGAAGAGGTGGGAATGCAAAACATTGTTTTCAGCTACCCTACATTAACTTTGATGATACTTCACTGAAAAAAAAGCCTTGTGAGTACCGTAATTGTACTAATGCTACGTCAAGAATATTATGAAAATCTGATAAGTAAACGAAAACAAGTTGTAAATCCATGGCTAACCTGTTTTTATTAACCATCATGTTTACATTAGCGATTCATGAATAGAATAAGAAATTTTGATAAGATCCGGAATTGATCTATCCTTGTGCAATATTATCCTTAAAAGGAGAAAGAATCAGTAGTGTCCATGTTGAAGTGATGCTTATTAAAAAGAATCCGAAGAGAGATGGGTACTTCAGGACTACGATAATACTTCTTCTGCTACTCTACTTAACTTCATTTAATATACTATTTTCCAAACACATAATAAACAAATTAATTTGACGCTTCTTTCCTTTCTTCTTTTAGAATGTGGTCATACTGCAAATGACATCTTATAGCATCTCAAAAGTTTTGATTTAAAAAGCAAAAGCAAATTAGTGACTTCCACAATGCTTGAATATTCATCCTTCGAAAATTGACTCAATTGAAATGATGAAAATATCAAATTTATCAGAATTACTTCAAAATTTCTCATCTTAAGGAAGATAGGGACTTCAAATAATGATTTTACATGTTCCAATTTTCTGATTAATAATACTCACTTTATATTGAAATTGCAACTTTTTTTTTTCTGTTCACTTTTATGATCCATGAATACATACAAGCAAATATTATATGCAAACTATGAAATTATGTATTTCAGTCACGTCACAAGTATAACTCTCCTGAATTTACCATATTTAGGTGCAATATCCTTACATATAATACATTTGTAATTAATATATATAATAATTTAGAATTAATATATTAAGAGAATATTAGCTGAATTTATATATACATTGAAAATATGTTTGCATGCATAGCAGTAGACTGTGATATATATCAGTCACATTAGAAACTTTACAACTAATAACTGAACTTTCATATTAGCTTCAGTGCGATCAGAATAAGGAATTAGTTGATTCGCGAATCACTTCAAAAATCGATACTTGTTGTTGTTGAAGGATAAACTGATTGGCAAACTTTTACCTGAGCTCCCTTTTTAATTTCGACTGAAATATGTACTGGAATTTAAATTTGTGCTTTATGTTGATTTAATAATGAATTTGTCATCTGACGTAGCATTAAATGATTGATGTGACCACGAAAAGAATTTTCTTTATAACCATGGCAGAGGTCATTCGATGCAAATAAAATATTCAGAAAAGAATATGATGCTAAAAATCTGCATATTTTGAATTTTTTACAGCAAAATTATTGTGAATAAAAACGCGTCAAGGTGAATTACAAGATTTTATAAAGACCTGTTAATAAACAATCTAACCGACGGATCAAGTCGAGAAATGAAGACTTTATGTATAATATTTATTAAAGGAAGAATACGAACACTTGTAGAGTAATAGTGGATATATTTTCATTCCTGGATCTGTGAAGCAGTGTTACCATTATCACAGGTTTACGGAAGTAAGAACTTTGTGATAAACATTATAGACACTGCTTTCGTATCGTTAGAATTGCCAAGCCTTTGAATTAGCCAAGTTTAATTCCAAAGATTTCAACAAAAAGAAAATTGTTATTTGAATTTCATGTTTAAAAATCTGAACCATCAATTTTGATTCTGAAAGCTTCAAATTTATCATTATTATTATTATTATTATTATTATTATTATTATTATTATTATTATTATTATTATTATTATTATTATTATTATTATTATTATTATTATTATTATATTATTATTATTATTATTATTATTA